TGGTTTTGTTGAGTGATGGCTCTGACGATGGCCGACATCGAGGCTTTTCGGCGGCGCTCGACACTGAACAGGAATCTGCGTGGGCGGGTTGTAGTGTTCAAGGTGAGTTGGGCAACCCTTCGAAACGTCTAACGAGCTAGCTCGACCAATTCCAAAAATTATGAACTTCCAAAAAAGATGACCGATCATGTGAATTCGTTCTTGCCATTTTGTTTCTTACGCTTGTTGAAATGCAACGTCGGAAAGGCGAGAACTATTTTTCAAGCCTTCCTAAAAGAAAGTACTGTACAGTGCGTTTCCAATGCAGTTGGGGTTCCTTTTTTGTTTCCTCGTTTCTCTCGCGTTTGGCTTCGTAGTTCCGTGTGGAAATCGAGAGCGCGCTTCTGCAGAATATTCATGAAGGGTCTGCGCATAAGCTTTTTGCGCTTTTTGCATTAATTGGCATCTGAAGTGCCGTCAGACGTGGTGGAAATATGGAAATGCGGTCGTTCTTTCGGCCAGATTACTGTCTGCGGAAGAAAGGTTGTTGGGTAAGCTTGTTGATTCAGGTGCACGCGAGGTTTATTTTTCCCCCAACACTGAAAATGACTTCGGTAATTACATGACTCGATCAAAAGCTTTCCGTTCTTCGAAGTCGATGCAGAAGCACTAGTCATGCAATATATTGCCGCTAAAGGTTTCCTTTTTTATTATTTTCAAGCCAATACAAGTCCTAATGAACGTTCCTTGTGTAACAGTGCGTCTGACGAGTCGAACAGAATTGCCGTGTTTGAACTTGTTCGGCATTTCTTTCTGGGAAACGAATGTTGGTTGGGCAGGAACGCAGAACAGTACACACAGTACTGCTTTGTGAAACGACCGTTTTTTGCTTGTACTCGATGGTAATAAGCGGTTTCTAGTCATTGGATTGACGAAAATCCACCGAGCGGATCAAACGTAAGTTCCAACTGCTGGCATGGGCAGAACTCGTCTTAGGGATTATTGGATTGTCGTCGAAATGCTGAATTTTTTGCTGAAATACTGGCCGAAGATTTCAAATCTTCTGCCTTGAACTTCGTGATTCCAGTCAGAGTCTTGCGTTAATGTACTGTATTTCCGTTTTCGTTCACAATTCTTTTTTTTTCACCTACGTGCTATTCCTAAATCCGCGATGTTTTTAAAATTTACTGCGTTCTTTCTTGGAATAATTTAACACGTCTAATTTTTGTTCTTTCTGAAAAACTCCCGCTACAAGCACGAAAAACCTCCGGCGATCGTTCGCGTCTCTTTTACTTCTCTCGGCGCGACCAATTGAGTCCGCAACCCTCGCTTTTTGCCTCGTTACGCGAGGAAATTGTTGAATATTTAGGCGAAGGAAAGGTTAGGAAAAAAAAAATTCCGCACTTTTTTGTCTGCGCCCCAAGGATTTGACAATGAACCACGGTTACCTCGAGGAATTTTAAATTTCATCGTTATGGCAGGCTCTCTTAGTCTGAAGGCTTTTCTGATGCGTGAGCAGGTGTTCGGATAAGTTACACTTGGAATAATGGTTGCAGCGAAACTCAACACTGTTTTAGTTTTGTTTTACACCAGAATTTGCGAAGGATTTTGATTGTTTTTGTTTGCAGTGATTTTGCTGCAGCCTTGAATTTATCGTAGAATATTCATGTCACGATCGTATTATTTGAGCTTGAAAAGAAAAATACTTTTTTTTTAATTGCCCCGTAGTTGGAAATCGTTGGCATGCATGTAAGCTCACGTGCATGATTGATGGATAAAGTGGAAACCCCGCTAGAATTGGATGATTTGGTAGGAAAAAACGGGTGCCTCAGGAACTTTCGTGTTGGTCCGTATCCGTTCAACGATTGGACCGACTCATGGAAAGTTGCTGCCCATCTTCTTCTCCAAAATTGTTGACGTGTGGACGCGCATTTAATTCTTTCCGTGTTAACACGTGATTGTCCAGGAAAGAGCCCGTTACATTTAGCGACGGAGCGTGTCCGTGTCACTATTTGTCCGTGGTGCTCTCCTCGTGGAGAGTTTATAGTCCGGGCAACTCGGTCGCATTAGCTCATCGCTTTCTTGCTAATCGCGAATCGGGTTGAGGATGTGACGTGCGAGCGGAATATCAATCAACCCGGTGCTATATTACCGTACTCGCACGTTCAGCCGTCGTGTTCGTACCCGCGTTGTAAATTAGTAGTACTGAGGAGGCCGTGACGCGTGCTGTCGCAACAGCGTCTGGGTTTCGGGGCGCACCCGCGTCAATCCGTTGCCCATTCGATTCTTTTTGGCTTTTCTTTTTGAGCGTGGGTCAGGTGTGACTAGGAGGGTGTAAATATGCAATCGTGACGTGGCCGTACCAGAGATTAACTTTCATCCTCCCGCCGACTTCGGACTACGGTTCCACGGGGCTGATTAAATTCAGATTTCTCATAAACATCATCCTACAGTCTAATCCTTTCTAATCGAAATTCAAGGAAACAGCGAACAAATTCGAGCCAGGAATACTTCGAGTTAGGTAAGCGAGCATTTGTGCTTGGGAAAGTGAAGAAGGATTACAGAAAATAGTAACTGATTTTATTCTAGGCCTTTAAATTGCTTCCTGAATGAGTTGACCGAATACCTGTACGGTGCTGAGCTTGAAGGCAACGGTTCATTTTCCCGCTATGCCTTTCACTTCCTTTCAAAACACATCAAAATACATTTTATTGGTTTGTTCCTGTGTCAATAAAATATTGTAATAGCCAAAAGATCTCCAGAAAATTCGAGTTGAGAAGGTTTGAGGAAGAAAGCCAACTTATGGAGATATTTTTGTGGGGAATTTCCGACCGGGACTTTCAACAAGAATTCGACTTGGAAAGATTCGAATTATGGAACTTCACCATGTGTAAGCAGTTGCCCTGCTTTCAGACATCATCCTAAGCCTGAGCTTGGCGGAAAAAAGTAAACAAACCCTGAAATTTGACATTGATGGAAAAATTTATTTCCTTTTCTGAAGCAAGAATTGTTGACTATTAGGATCCCTCTTCGAATCGTCTCGCGCACATTCTTCTGCCTTACCGTTTGGTCTCCAAAACACACCTTCTAGCCGTAATTCATGATTTCGATTTTTTAAATACCAATATTAGAAGTATTCGCTTGAATATTCGGGAAACATGTTCTCAGTCATGATCTGGATGATGGCGAGTTACTTTTGACTCTTGAGGGCTTACTATGTATTGGCGTGCGGCATTGGAAGCTTCTAATTAGAAATGAACTTTGTGATAGTGTATAAACTTTGCTGATGGCGGTTTAAATCTTTTTTCCTCGAGATTTGTGAAACAAAAGAAACCAGCTTTAGTGCAACTACGAGCGTGTAAATATGCAATCGTGACTCGGCCGTACCAGAGATTAACTTTCATGCTCCCGCCGGCTTCCGACCGCGGTTCCGTGGGACTGATTGCGCTGCAGTCTGCTGATACATGATCGTCTTCCCGGGTTCGTGTTATTTGCCAACTGTGAGATCGACGTTGACGAGGGGTCCCGTCATTTAATGGGCGAACAATCGACGGTCTGTTATTTGCTCGCTCGTTGAAAAACTCGGTCCTCGAAATGAAAACGTTTTAAATCCCCTTCGTTGCCCCGACATCCCGTCTGATAATCGTTTCGGTATAAATAATATTTTCGGTGTTCCCAAGAATCATGCAAGCTATCAGTTTATCTTTCGTGGGAAAGTATCCATAGCTAAAACGGGATATTCCGAAATGAGAAAAATATTGGCTCATCTGCGTTTCGAGTTCATGCCGATGTGGGAGTGGCATGAATAAAAATTGCTTTGATCAGCATATTAGAACGATGCTGTAGATTCTACCGTGTAGAAGATGCCGCGTTTCCTCGAATTTGAATTATAATATTGTACTGTAATATACAGTGGTACCTTTTTACTCTCAAGAGTTATAGTAAGCACAGTTATTTATTCACCTTACCCCGCGAATAGGCCCTGATTACTGCTAATAAGATACTGTATATCTTTCCTTTGCTGCAATAAGAATAATTAACGCATCATTTCCTCTTCAAAATCATCTTGCTTTGATTCTTTGCCGATGCTCTGTCTGCAAGTTCCATCTCAAAACGTCCGACATATTGTCCAAACTCAATTTATGACCTTCTTCTCTTTTCGTTAGTATGTGATACACATTCTGGCATGAGAAGTTGTGGCGCATTTGAAAATACTGCGCATCATATGAGTTGTGTTCATTTTTTGGGAAATCGTACTGTACTGTATTTTGTCATGAGTTGGGTGATTTGGGTGATTTCATGCGTCTTCGATGTATCGACGTGCTACAATTGGAGCTTTTCATTTGATGAAATACTTATTTTTGTGCGACGCGACCTTTATTATCAATGCACAGTAATACAAAAATAAATTCAGCTTCAGACCTATTGCGCGCGGCATACGAGTGGTTGATTTTGGTCTTTCTTTGTTCTAAAGAAAAATAAGAGCGTGTTTTTTTTGAGGAATGACCTGGAATGCCAATAGCGTTTTAAAAACATTTTCGTGTCCTTTCAGAAATGGAGAATACTTTTCTAATGCAGTCTAAAGAAAGTTATCTTTGGACTTACTGATCCTCATGCGATAACATCATTGACAGTTCACTTGCTCAGGCTGCATATTTTCTTTCCCGTCGAGCTGCCAAGTTGTGATGCAATGGAACGTTGCGAGTTGAAACTGCTGACATTCAGCCGGGAGAGAGAGGAGGGTATTTATAAGTTGACTTTGGAAACATGTTGCGTACAAGAAGAAGAAAAAATTGTACCGGGTGAATAATCGCATATGATAGCAGTGGTAAAGCCGCTTCTTATCTCACGGATCCTGCGCGGTTGCGGGCAGTCGGTTCTCCATCGGGTATCCTTAATGCGTTCTTGCGGCTGCGGAGATTATAGTAGTCTGGGCCAAAAATAAAAATTGGTGGAAACGCTAGGAGATCCTTTACGCAGAGAAATGAAGTTTGAAAAAGAAAAAAGAAAAAGGCGAGAGAATGGATGCAGAGATGTCTAAAGCCCCTCCTGTGTGTATGTGGGAATCGGCTCGGGCGGCGAAGCTGGGAAGATTGATGCGTCTGAACGAGTTCCGACGAACTCGCCGTCGTTTGATGGCCGGCAAGCAAATGAAACATCTTGCACTGATTGAGCTGCTGCTGCCGCTGGTGGGCACCGAGTGATTTCTCGCTGCGTTGGACGAAATCGTCGGTCTTTTGCTGATGTTTCATTTTCAGAGGGTCACGGTGCCGAGTTTTCAAGAGTAATCGATCACGAGTTGTCTTGGCCCGGCTGATTTCGCAATCCGCTTTTCCGTGACTATGAAAAATAAAAACAAATGCAGAACTGAAAGTGAATGGTTGGTTCTCGTATGAGAGGTGTCTTGATTTGCGCGCGCGGTTTTAAATTTATTATGTATTAGAAATGCAGTATTTTGAAAATTTTACCGTTTTAATTTTATTATTATTATAATTATTATTTTTTTTTTACCCCGAGTGAGGCATGTTATCCACCAGTTGGAACGTATTTCTGAACGTTCTTGTTTCAACATTCGTCGGAGCATTCCAAGAAAGCAGATTTATTCACTCTTTCTGTGAACTTCAGATTCCTGCGAAATAATGTACTGTACTCCATGGATACTTTTCTAATTGTGCTTTTTTTTACCCCGAGTGGGAAATGTTCTCCGCCAACTCATTTCTGAGCATTATTTGACCCAACCCTCGTCTTCGCATTTCAAGAGAAACGATTTTCATACTTTTTCTGTGAAATAAAGGACTGTATCTGTTTTTGCTTGAAAATGTTACCGTTTAAATTATGCTCTTTTTTCACCCCAACTCAGACATGTTCTCCACGAATTTGGATGCATTTTTTTTATCTAACCCTCGTGGGAATAAGAAAGCCGATTTGTGCACTTTTTCTGTGAGTTTTAAATTGCCACTTTTGAACTTTTGCTCGCAGATAATTGACTCAGATGTCTGTGTATAGAAATTTTGGTTGAATAAAAAAAACATATCGTTACATTGTGATTCATCCGAAGATTTACATAGATCATCAACTCCGACATCACAGCACGTATGGAAGAGTTTATGGATGATGCACTGTTGGTTACTGTTCTCCATTATTCGTAGTAGTAAAATCCTTTTCGTTGGGTCAAAATAAGTGATTAACAAGAAATTAAGCTGGGACCCCTTTTAAATTATCTCCATCATTAGAACTGTTCCTTTTGATGAAATTTAAATGCGAATGAAACATTAGAAAATCGGACTGGGTCGGATATCACACATTCTTTACATTGCTCGTAGCAGTTCTGTTTTTGTATGCCCACGTGCTCGTCGTTTTGTTTCTAAAAAAAAAGGCGTTTATATGACGCATACTTTTGGAAAGTTCAAGTGGTGAGTGAGAAATACTCAATTGCTTTTTTTCTGCGATCTCAATTTTTCCGAATTTTGTACTTGTTCGTCAATTGTTCGATTGTTGTTTAATTATCGAAAGTATGCCAGATTTGTGGGTTTTTCGAAAAAATTTGAAGACGGCAAATAAATTTGTCCTTCTTGACCACGTTGCTTACGAAAAACTAGTCTACATCCAAGGACGTACTTATGCAGTGACCGCGGACTTCGGTTTAACCGTACTTATGCAATAATGATGTAGTAAAACCTGGATTAACCAACAATTAGTTTACCTCGCTAGTAGAAAAATGCTCGAAGGACTAAAGAAAAAACCGGCATGTACTCAGCAGAAGTTAATGAATTGATTTACGAAGAATCAAGAAATACTTATTTATGTTCGCTTGTTATTTTGTGATGATCGTAGTCTCGATCTTAGTTTCTCATGTTCACTGTATTTCCAAGCATGTGAAGTCCAATTTTAGCTGTTCCTGTCCATCAATTATCCAAAAGGAGGGAACCAACGCCAACCCACGTTAACGAGGTTTTACTCTACTTTATCGGATGCGCTTGTCTTGAATGATCGACTATTTTAATGGCATGAAAAGAGAGTTCAATGTTTTTTTAATCATTGTTTTTCACTTCAACGATGCTTGAAAGCATATGCAGGGAACAAAGTCCGAGAAATATAAATTCAACCACCGTTAAAGATGTTCTACTGCCATACTGTGTGTATTCTTCCGAATGAGATGTCTGCTCTCTAGTTCCCTTACGAAAAGAAACGGCGAATTGCCCGGTAAATAGAAGAAAAAACTGGGCCGTGAATTATGATCGTACTTGAAAAGATTTCAATTTGTCGAAAACTTGAGTTCCTCATCACCATACATTGCCTGAAGATTTTAATTTTAGATCAGATTTTTGTGTTGATGTTCATCAGCCGAATCATTGTACACGGTATATTTTTTCCGCTATGATAATCTTCATTGTGTGTCTTCTTTGAAGTTCTTTCTTGAGCGACCAAATCTAATGATGGGGAAAGAAGAGAGATAATGTGATCGCACAAGTCACTGTGTCAGATCAAATTAAATGGAAACCATACACTGCAGTTTATGACTTATTGATACGTAGATGTAATATACAGTACTTTCTACTGTAGAAAGATTCGGACGTCTTTTGTGCAATATTAAGTTATCTGAATTTTCTTGGAACAAAATGTGCAGCTAACGTGTCGAGAATGCTGAAATCAACGTTTTGTTCGATCTCTCGCGGACGTGTGAGATCGAACGAATGTGTGATGTGTATTCTCAGTCATTAGTAGATGGAAAGTACTGCAACTTGGAGAATCACTGAAAAAAAAAATCGTTTTCGCGAAAAGAGAAAGGTCATATTCAATACCTTGTGGGATAGTTCATCGAATTGGCCCATAATTCCATCTTCATGGGGAACAATTTTCAGTCATAAAGTTGGAAAAGTGCTTTCCGACTGTAAGGATTTGAAAATTAGATACTTCGGGTAGCTCTAGTCCAAATGGGGAACCGGTTTTTCCCCATCGGTCACGAATTTTCGCCTAATTGAAGTACTGTATTGCGTTGTTTGATCACGTGCCGCTGGTCGTGATCGGGCCCTGAGTACCGTGAATGGGTGACAAAACGGAATTTTTATTTTGGTGACTCAACGTATCCCATTTTACGACGGGTTGGCGGCACTTCACGATACACTGTTAACCGAAAATGTACGCCTTCCTTTTTCTGTCTGTTTACGTTCTGTCGAGAGGAGAAAAAAAAAGAGTGCAAGACATGTGTTCAGCGAATAAACCCGTCCGCGGGGATTAAAAGCAAGTAAGTTATGGGACAAGGTGAAGCCGCGGGCGGGCGAGCGAACCTCGCGTTGACCCGATTTTTTTCTTGCGCCTTGTTGAGCGTGAATGTTTTTTCAAACGCTACGAGCCCTTTATTTTATTCTATTTCTTGAATGTTCTCTGTAGTCCTTACTCGGGGCGTAGGTGGTTCACGGTATTTTCAGAAAATTCTCTACGGCTGCGGCGTTATTAATCGTTTAACGCGTGGTACTGAAGAAAATTCATCACTCGCCCTTTGTAGCCCGTGTTCTGCTCGATTCCCGGAAAGGTTTAATGTACGATTTTTGCAGACTAGCCCAAGGCCTCACTTACCAAGCTTCTGGGGGCAGAGGGAACTTCGTGTTTCTGGTAGGGGGGGGGGGGGGGGGGGGGGGGAGAAGGGGGGTGGGGGGGGGGGGGGGGGGGGGGGGGGGGGGTAATGAACTACAGAATTCATGAATGTGCCGGATTATCTCGAATGGCACGGGAAATGTGGCGAGAAGGTCGGATACAATTGGTATTAACGGATGACTGCTTATGGCAAATTCGACTTTGTCAGGGCAAAGTTCAATGAAAGGTTGCAATCTGCACTTGCGTCAATTCATTGGACATTAACCTTGCCAAACCGACGAAAATACGCTAATTGAGCACTGATTTTATTCGATATAAACCAGCGAAAAATTGAAGCAATCAGTTTTAAAGTTACAGTACCGAATACACGTTGAATAATTTCCATTTATTTATAATTCAGCACAATGGAAACTTCTTTCAAGAGTCGTTCAGGAGGTTCAAAATACGAATTTCGGTGTCGTGAGATTAAATATGTTCTAAACGATGGCTGCCGGGGAATTTACTTGCATTTCATTAGCTTGATTTTTGTTTTCTGAGGAGTTCACGAGCTGAGACTTCCGAGGGTCTTGAGAGGCTTACAACGAGGTGTGTGCCGCTTCTTAAAAATGATTGGAAAGACGAATTCATGAAGAAGACACGCCTTATTTTGCATGTAAAGCTTTTTTGTCAAGCATTTTCCGGAAGGGAAAAAATTGAAGCGCATTATACTTGCTCCTCGCCGTTCGAGGAAAGGGCGTGGTGTCGAAGGAAAACTTCTCCGGAAAAGCCATGCATTGAAGTTCCGCAATTTTCCGCTACACGAGAGAAGGCAGAAAGGAATTTTAATGGAATGTAGTTTGTCATGGGATGATTGTTTTCGAGTTCGACCGCTTACAGTATATTTTTTAATGTACCCGTCTAACTGGCGCACGCGAAACTTTCAGCGAGTTCTAAAGGGTGGTTGAATTATCATTTTCTTACTTTTCTGCTTCGATATTTTTTTTTCTCTCTCTCATACTTGAGATTCATTCGTGTACTAAGTTGATTGGGACTTTGTTGCCCGTAATTTTGCGGTCGGACATTCCTTCGATGAGCTGAATGATTAGTATCTCATTTTGGGATAATAGCAATGATCTGAGTCATGAAATGATCCCATGGTTCTAATAATTGTTCCAACCTATTAGTTTGAAACTTTTTTTTCCCTCCGCGCACGCGCAAAATGGAAAGTGTTACTTCATCCCGGAATGCTCGTACGCGTCTGCATTGTGAATCATCGATCTGACTGCTGAAGATTCTACGAAGATGAATCTAGAAGAGATACATTCTGGGAGTTTGAGATGGAATTTCGAAAAAAGTCGATGTTGACTACGAGGGATAGTTGAAAAGCTTTTGCAGTACTAAGAATTACGTTTAGTATGTACAGTATTAAATTATGTGAATTAGAATCCACCGTTGAGTCAATTTCCAGAATTAAAGCGAGTCAGTTTTCTTAGTACGATATTCTCCGACGTTTCTGGGCGACCATCACGTTCTGTACTGGTAACACGAAAATTGTCAACGTGCTTAAATTGAAACTAGTTTTGGGCAGATCTTGTTCATTTTCACTAATAACAATGGTCCACAATGTTTTTGTAAATTAAAAATTGGGCAGTTCTTCAAATATCTGCAAATGAATTTTGGAAAGTCGATGGTTGCCAGGTGGACATTTTCCTTCGTCATGATGAATTGTTTACTTCAACTCCCACAACTTCTTTCAGTGTCAACTTTTGTGGGCAACTATTGAAAGTTTTGGAACACTTCTCAGAAAATTAGAGAATCAGTGGAAAGCATGTGATCTTCATCCATCTCTGCATCGTAGGGGAGGAGGAGACTGACGGAACTTATGAGAAACCCCTCGTTCTGTATTTAAAAAAAAAAACGGATGAACATTCCCAGAATTTTGTAATTGTAATGATCTCCGAGTATAAATCATCGAATGTTACTACAGTATTTATAAATTGTCTTTTTCATCCAACAAGGATGAATCAAATCCTCATGAATCAATCCTCGAGCCCGGGAGTAGTCCCGGGATATTCATTCTGACATTAGACAGTTTCAATGAAAAAATATATCACGGCTTATTAACTTTGTTTTCTGCTGTTTACAGAGTGATTATCAGCTGAGCCCGCTGCTGCACGACCTAAGCAGCAAGTATGGTTACCAACCAGCAACCGGAGAGCTGGTCCGCGACGGCAGCTGCTACGGTATGGACGACAACCGGCGGCTGGTCGGGCGTGGCGGACCGACGCCTCCTGCGCCCGCTCTCGGCATTGCTCGACAAGCTCTGTGCGACGGCGCCTCTCAGGAGCAAGTCTTCCAGACTCTCCAGGAGCTCAAAGAGAGAATACGGAAGGAAATTCGGAAAGAGTTGAAGATCAAAGAAGGGGCCGAGAATTTAAGGCGTGCCTCGACGGATAAGAAGAGCGCGCAGAACGTTGCCACCATGATCAAGCAGTCCAATAACCGCCTCGAAGACCTCAAGGTGAGCAACCACATTTCTGCCTTAAAAAAAAAACCAACAATTCCTCATTACTGCAAGCTCAAATGCACTTTTGTTGTTGTTTTTACCTCACCCCAAGAATTTCTCTCACGCGGGTGAATTTATTAACGACGGTTTCAAGGCTTCAGAAACGAGGGCCCCAGGTTTTATCGGCGAAAATTTCTTTGCTCCGGCCAACTTTGCCACACGTTTTCGTCGCATAAAAAAAAACTAATTTCCTACCGTATTTGTGTCTCACTGGTCATTAATAAAATTAAAAGAATGTCGAATAATGATCCGACAAATCTGTGGTGCAACAGGATCGTAAAGAAGCTGCGGAGTGCAACGAACAGCCAGCCATCAAAGTTGAAGTTATCAAAGGCGAAACGGTGTTTCCTGTCCTGTCTGCGATAAACTTTCACCCGCTTGGGACGCATCATTCCCTGATGTTAGTTTGTTCTATCCCGAAAGCAGTTAACGAGGCAATCGCATGAAATGTAAAGGAAGTCGTTGGTTGCGTTTTTTCTTTACCGCGGCTTCCCGCTGAACACTTGCTGCCGGTCTTCTTTTTTGTTGGCGTTAGGTGTGCAAACTTTTCATGATCGTATATTCGTGTGAGATACAGTATTTACGGGATTGTAAAGACGGAATTGCTGGCGGGGGAAAAGCTAGTGCTTTGATTTTTTTCGACACTCGACACAAATCGGTCAAGATCCATTTTCAGCATATCAAATTTGAAGAATTTTTCGACGTGATTCACCTCGATGACAAGCAGAGTTACTCGTTAATTATCTTTATATTGGCCCTTCCGGGATTGAGTTTGTGACGAAGGTATCGTACAGTCCTTAGCTGATGATTTAACTGTCTGTTTTGAAATTAATTTGCTCGCAATATTCGTGAAGGCATGTGGTGGGTAGCGGTGTCAGAAGTCAGTCGTTGAAAAATTATCTTTTACATATAGTTTTGTATGAATGAGGACCGTTTTGTGTCTATTGATTGCAGGAACTTGAGTCATCGTGCGGATTTAAATACTGGAACATTTTTCAGCAAATCCGAGTGGGGCTTGAAATGCAGAACATCTTATTTGCATTTATAATTGGCTGCCCTTGTTTTTGTGCATAAATGAATTCAGAATTATTTCTCCATTATCAAGGTCACCTTATTGTTTCCCCGAATGCTGTATTTTTAAAACGGCTGTCAAACGAATTGTTCGTGTGCTAAACATATTAAAGAGGCATTTGGTATGTCGTACGAGAAAGTTTTTTTTTTCATGAATGTAGAAAATATTTCTTGATACTACAATACTGTAAATCTTGTTGGAAACAGGTATTCACCTATAGCATGCATATCTTTCGTTTTTTTTAGCTGGTGATAGAGAAAGGTGAAATTGGCACTTTTCCACGAATTGTGCAACTTGTAAGAGGACTTCTCAATTCGTAATTTTACCAGTTTCAGATTCGGATAGTGTTCGCGTGCGATTTCCTGTGTACGACGGATAACCGGTGAATTCAATTCCTGTAACAAATCCAATTCTATGCGTTACTTCATTCCGAATTCACCTATCATTTAAAATGATGGGAAATGTGATGCTCTGTATCCTCGAGCAAAGTTTATTCACCTTGCATCTCATTCTTTCTCATGACACATAACTTCTACAACCGACTTTCAAAATTTCCTGCATGTAATGTTGCACTTTTTAAAAATCTCAGCTCTGCCCAATTGAACTTTCGCCCTTCATCTGTTAGTTAATTGTCCCAAGAACCACCAATAATGAGTGGTACGCGTGAAACTAGATTTTTAAAAATCTGGTTTCTTTGGGGACTCTCGTGAACTTCTGGGCCGTCACACGTATCTATGTTAAGCGCTATATCTCATCCGCGGAACGTTACTTTCGAGAAAATGAGCAGACGTGAGGCATAGGTTTGATTTCGTGTGTCGCAGGCGGATTTGGAAGAGGTGGACTCGCAGCTGTTGATGACCCGCGGCGGGGAAAGAAGCGGCGGTCCGCCAACCGGCGCCGCTCCGGCACTCGGCATGGGTGGTCCACTTCCGTCCCCGGTGTCTTCTTTGGGCCACTCGTCAGCATATCAGCTCGGCATACACCCGCAGCCATCGTATGGCGGCCAGTTTGCGCCACCAGCCAGGGCTTACTTCGAACCCTCCATGCCGACCTCCGTGTCGGGATACTCCATCAGTGGTGAGTTTTTTTTTCTTTCTTTTCTTTTATTGGTGATGATCTGGCCCTTGAATTGCTTATTGAATGAATTGAGTTGATAGGATGCTGAACTTGGAGGCAGGGGTTAATTTGCCCAATTAGTCTTTCACTTCATTTCAAAGGACATCAAATGTCTTCATCATTTATTTTCTCGCTCCTGTGTCAATAAAGTAATAGCAGAAAATCCTCCAGAAACTTTGAATTATGGAGGGTTGAGTAGGAAAGCCTTCGAGTTACGGTTCTTTTATGAATTGTGTCTAAAGGGGATTGAGATGGAGACTTCAAAGAGAAACGACTTGGGGTGGTTCGAGTTGTAAAGGTTCAACTGTAATAGCCAAAAGGCGTCCAGAAAATTCAAATTGGAAAGGTTTTCAATACAGTACGTTTCCAAGGGGATTTAGACAAGGACTTGAAAAATAAAAGACCACAGGAAGGAGCAGTATTCGACTTCCGAAGGTCCCGAATTATAGAGTTGCAACTCGAATTTCGAATATCCCTTGTCGATGTTACAAAAGATGAAATGGACAAATCGCGAGAGCAGCTAATCTTAAAATGTAACTGCAGTCACTCCTTTTTAATGCCATCGTAACGGCATACAGTAGGATGAAAGGTCTTCAATTTTTTATTACCTGATTTTGAAATCAGTGTCCGGGATGAGAAACGAGAGTCGGGTGCGGACAATCGTGCTATCATCCTGTTTTATGGAGTCACGGGGTCCTTTCATTTGTAATTGAATGAACACTCGCTCAACTCCGTCTAGAATCTAGATTATCTCTAGAATATATCTAGATCGTATCTTGCAGTAGGGCGAAGCACAGTGAATTATAGATTTGGTCCCTGGCGACGCTTCTTAATTCCCGCAGTCCGACGAAGAAGCTATTGTAGCATATTCGAAAAGTTGTTTCAAAAGGAAACGCATTTCCTCAACCGCAACGTATTTCTTCGTATGTCACACGAAACTTGGTATTTAGCAAGTCTTTTCTTACTCAATATTGAAGAGCAAATGAAGTGTTTTTGCTTACCTGCATCGACTGCTTCAATCTGACGCTCGAATATTCGTCCCATTCTTCCAGTTAGGTTTTTTTATTCCCCGCGTTGAATTGAATTCTTCTCATAACTGAGCTCGACGATTTGAATTTGATTCACGAGCAATTACCCGAGGCGATTGTCGATTCGTAGGAAATTCATGCTGGAAAGAAAAGGAAAACATGATTTTTTCCATTCAGTTCTTGGAAAACGGTACTTACTCCGTTCTCACGAACATGAATCTCCGGAGATACTTCGGTATTCCAGTACTCCGTGAAATCTTCCCGAAAATGTAACCATTTCTCGTGCTTATCTATGTATCTCATGTTATAAATATATGTATATACATATATATACAATATATACATATACAGTATAATTATATTTATATATTTTGTTTTTTGGAGATAAACTTGAAGCGCTCAACGGGTTGTCCGATTTTATGACCGATCCAATGCGTAAAAAAAGATTTGAGCGGGACGTTGTTTCACTTACTATGTGATAAAAAAAAAAAAAAAAAACTGGAGACTTGCCTGACTGCTTTTTTGAGTCACAGTATTTATCGCAAATAGTCGTCATCTTAATTTCCACAGCTGACCTGGTTCCAGTTCTCTCCATTGAATAACTTTAATTCGAGGCGTCGATGCGAATTGTATTTTTGGTACCTTGCTCGACGTCTGCTGTTACAAATCTTTCTTTTAACGCTCTTCTTACTCCATCCCATAGATTAGCAACAAGAACAGTTTTCGTAATGAGGTATTAAGACATCGGGGGGACAAAGGGTATTCTGTATTCTGGGTCATCCTCTCCGCATATGGGGGGTTTTAAGTACCCGAGCAGAGAAAACGAATGCATGATTATTACATTGATTGGAAACGCGTAACCTTGAAGGGTGGTCATAGTTAGCAGGCGTTTCATCTCCATCTTGTGGGAGTATGGGTCAGAAGAACAGGATGAAGCTGTGCTAACGAGGGCGTTACGAACTTGAGCTAATTAAATACGCGTTCGCCTGTAAGTGATCTGGGCGCGTTCGAATGGCGGCGAACAATTAATCAGTTCCCTAACGTTGATACGGGTTGTCGTCTGTATATTTTTTTACGAGACCAGAGTTTCCCCAAGTTCCTCTCTTCGAAAATAAGGAACGCATTTTAAAATGTGTCGTTTGATTTGAAATTTGAAACTTGATTGAAATTGAAAAACGTAGCATGGATGAGGAAACAGACATGTTTTTGAAGCAAAATACATCGTGAAAATTTTGATCTATGTTCAAGAGAAAAATGTTCGAAAATGTTTGGCAACGCTTCAACTAAAATGATTCGAACAGGAAAATTTCGAGCTATTTCGATTTAAATAAGGTAAAATGAAACATAATTACAATGTGCTATATCATCTTTCAAATGAGTTGAAATTATGACTTTAATTGCATTCGTGGATGCACGGAGCTGCTCCTCTGTTCTTCCTGTTCATCCTGTTTTGGAGCTGCTTGTATGCATTGCTAAAATTTATCACTTGCACAAGTTGAACAATTTCCAGAGAAGCTAATTTTTTTCGTTTTGTTGACTGCAAAACATTTTAGAGGACGAAGTTACATTAATAAGGCGGACCAGAAAGAAATATTTATGATTGATCGGCTGATTCTGTGATGAACGGCATCTGCTTAAAATTGTGTTGTCATCACGCAGAAAAAAGGGGTCCATGGAAATTGTGAACATAGTACGCATCTCTTCGTTCTAGGTTGTCGAGATTTTTTTCTTCATTTTTTTCGAAGTTTTTTTTGCACAATTTATTACTTGATGACGAAACCAGTATTGCTGCGCTGCAATGAGCATAAATTCTTGCACCTTGATTATCTGCGCGACGACAGGAATACAGCATTACAGTGTGAGTGTCTGTTTAAAGGGCAGCGACGATGAACGTGGGAATGCCGAGGCAATTTTTAGAACCATTAAAATGGGCTTTGAAGAGAAAATATGTTGGTTCCCTGGACTTCTTGGCCACTGTTTTTTCCTTATGCCTGGTATACCGATATTCTCGTTGATTGGGGCTTCGTCGTTAGTCTGTTCCCGCTAATGAAAGTTGGACGTAAGAAGTAGTTTCCGCCTTCAACAACCTCTTGAAATTTTCGGTGGGAACACTTGGTGAGCGGACTTTTCAGAAAATGCAATAATTATCCGCACACTTTCTTCGCATGTGTTCGTTTTTGGTCGGAAGCCCTTCTTGGAGATTTTTCTGACTGACCAACGGATATGCTATTCTTTGATACCTTGCCTTTGATCTCCTCAGGTTTTCAGGTTCTACGAAATCGAAATCTGTAAAGCTATAGCAGTATCTCGTGTTGGGATTTTTATGTGACGATTATTGTTCTCAGTTGTTCGATTTACGAACGAGAACCACATTTTCGAAGTACTGTGGTAGCTTTTCTTGCCGAAGTTCGAAATGTTATGTACTCTCTGGTCAGGGGAGCTGTGAATCGTCCAAGATTGGTACAGTACCGAAAGTTCCACTCTTCAAAATGCAAGAGTTACACCTTCAAGTTCATCTGGACCCGGCTTTCTGAGCCGTAGAACATGCACTTGTTGCCCTCTTGGACGTTGATTGCCTGGAAGTTTTATGACCAATAATTTACGATGCATAGATTGAAAAAATTATGGAATATTTAGAAAATTGCCTCAAATTAACCCACATTTTTCTCGCATTTTGTAATCACCATTAGTAGAAGGCGCCAATTGTAAAATATTTCTAGTTAACGGTCGGGTCTATCGGTATGAAAAACTTGATCAATATGATTCGATTGTCGGTGATTTCCAACTTCACGGCTCTGGTTGGCTTGCTGTGGCTTGCAAGTGCATTTGAAAATAATGTCGAAAAGAGTTACCTGTGCTTTCTTGACAGGGTTGACGGGGTTACTGTCCGAGTTAGCCTTGTTCCACATGTCGTTTAGTTATTTGTCGACGCTAAGCGAAGCGAACTTTTTCTTTTGAATGATATTTCAGGTTAAACATAGTATCCCCGCTGAATTTTGTTTCCAGTTTTCTCAGGCATACTACTGTAGTACCGTGTAGTATACTGTTCTCAGTGTGCAGAATTCATCTTTCAACTCCTCAGTTTCCTTGCGCATCGATTCGGAAGCCGTAAGTTTCTACCTTTTTGGACTTGCTAGCCTGAAAATTCGTGCATTTGAAATATAGCAGTGAAATTAAGCGACGAAAATTTCAATTTCAATGCTTCGAATGAACCTTTCGAATGATACAGTAATACCAACGCATAAGAGGGTAAGACTTGTTGCTGAGGTTTAATTAAACGAAATACTGTACTGTAAAATACTGTACGTGGAATTGTTCCGGGAAGACGACGGACGCTGCTGACCACATGTGGAAACATGAGTTTACGAAAAATAAAGTGCCCAAACCTGATGTCCAGTAAAACATACCGCGGAAGTTCCGGCCCCCAGGGTTTCCGTTCCTGCCTTTTTCTCGCTTTCCGTTTCGCGACACTTATTTCTTCTTCCTTCGCGGCGATTCTCCTTCCGATGAGTCGCCGAGTGGCCAACAGATGTGGACTCGTCTGGGAACCGAAAACGGCAATCGGACCACCGTCGTGAGTGTGAGTTCCTCGGCTCAGGAACAGCAGATGCATGGTCGGTTTTCCGGCCAGCCGTGGGAATTGCATCCGGTGCCTCATTTGTCCCTGGAATGGGAAGGAAAAGTACGATGGGAAATATTTCGATGTTTGCGGGACTGCGAATTCTCCGACTCTCGTGGGTTTTCCGTAAATTCTCTTCTCAGGTTTGTTTCGTAAAGATCGTGGATTCTTCACGTTCAAATCGTTGTTACCGTGCCTAATCCGCTTTTCCGATGGCAGATAACGTAGATTATTTACTCAGATATAAAATGTGCTTGACAGAACAAACTTCTTGCGTATGAGGACAACATATTTTTGACGCCGTCATTGATTCGCGCTCGGACTGCTTCATCTGTCAACGTATTTCAACAAAAAATGGCCTGATAAAAATCTTGCGTTCCATTTTTTATTCAAGGTGGTAAGAATCGAATACACGTGAACATTTTTATTCTGCTGGAATTGTTTCAGGAGATTCAGCAGGTCTTTAAAGCCTCTGTGAAATTAAACACGCTCATTCTACAGGTATTGAATGTCTTGAAATTACCTTTCGTTTTCGCAGGAATATTTTGTTTCAATGTAAAGTACATTATAGAGTACAGTATTGTAATGATACTTTTCATTAGTTCGAAACAACGCATAAAATTGATGCTTCAAATTCAAATGGATTTGTTCAGGTTTTATCGGGGTAAATTAAAGTCACAAACTTTCTTTCATACATGCATACTCTCTTACATATCTACCCCAAGCGATGTGGAGTAAAAGTCTGAGGAAAAATGAGCTTGGGGATTTATTGCATTATGAAAAAGAGGGTACCGTCACCATATATCCGAGTGAGTATTGGATTCATAAAACAGAAGAAATTGTTCTGTGTGTATGAGTGCTTTCAAGTCCTTTTATTATTGCTCGTACGGTATCATTTTCATCCTGTTATCGTTTACAACTGCGTTATCCCGAAACTGCTGTTGGATTGTGTCAGAGATTATCATGTATTTTGGTCCAGATGCTTCGATCACCAAATGTCTGTCTTGACTGTTTTCCTAGGTTTGGTGAAAATCCCCTTCCAAACTGACGACGGATGCTTGT